CTCAAATATATAAAGCACTTTGTCAAATCTGTAAGCATACAAACCATTCCCCAGTTGATCAATGGTTGAAGGATATGAACAGGCAGTTTTCCAGTGAAGAAAGCAAAATAATTTATAGTCATATGAAAATATACTCTAGATAATTATTGATTAGAGAAATACAAATTAAAACAACCTTGAGATATCATTTTACACCTGTCAGATTGGTTAAAATGATTGAAGGGGAAAGTGACAAATGTAGGGGATATGGGATTGGGACACTGATTCACTGTTGGTGGAATTGTGGCCTGATCCAACCATTTTTGAAGAACAATCTGGAATTATGCCTAAAGAGTTACTAAACTGTCTATACCCTTTAACCCAGCAATTCCACTACTAGGTCTATTTCCAAAGATGATTAGGGAAAAAAGAAAAGAATCTATATGCCCTTCCTTGCATCCCTAGTGCTTAACGTAATATTTGGCAAGTAGAGTACTAACCAATAAATGCTTGTTAGTTGACTCACCAGGGTTAGTCTGCATTAATTAGTAACAACAACAACAATAATAACCAGCATTTATGCAGTGCTTTAAGGTTTGCAAAGCACTTCACAAATATTATCTCATTTATCTTCATAAGAACCTTGGAAGGTAGGTATGATTGCATCTGCTTTACCTCCAGTGATATAACTAGCAAGCGTCAGAGGATGGATTCAAACTTGGGTCTTTCTGACTCCAGAAAGACTGGCTATTCACTCTGGAATGGTAATAATCCTGGTTAGTCCATTTTTGGAATATTGTGTACAGTCCTTAGGGACCATATTTTAGAAAAAAAAATTGAGAAGCTAAAACTGCTTCAGATAAGGGCCACCATAGAACTGAGGAGATTCCAAATAAATCTATGTGAGATTAGGTAAAAGGACCTGGGGATGAGAAGTGTTAAGGGATATAAAATAGCTGTCTTCAAATATTTTAGAGGTTGTCATGGGGAAGAGGGGTTAGACATGTTCTTGTTCCTAGAAAGAATGAAATTTACAGGAGGTAGCTTTCAGGGAGGCAGAATTTAGCTCAGGATAAGGAAGAGTTTCCTAACACTAAGCTGGCCAGAAGCAGATTGAACTATTTCTAGAAGCTCTGATGAATTTTTTGTCAACAAAGCTGTTCAAGTAGATGGTAGATTTTGAAGATGTAGTTAGCACTATGAATGGTTCATATATGGGTTTGGCTAGATGACCTTTCTAGATCCAAGAGTCTGTTTCTAAGACCCATCTCCAGTAGCCCCAGTCATACAATGGCATTCAATCAACCAGCCTTTATTAAGTGTCACATGCCAGGTATTCTGCCAAGTGCTGGGGATGCAAGGGAAAAATTGAAACAGTCCATATCTTCAGGTAACTTATATTCTAATGAGGTGAGGGGGTATGCACATATATAGGTATATGCAATGTACACACAAGGTAGATGCAAGGTAATATTAGGGGAAAGGCACTGAGGTTGGGAAAGACCATGATGGTCTTCTTGAAGAAGGTAACATGGAGCCAAGGATTTTAAGAGGTGGAGGTGCGGAAGAAGAACATTCTAGACATGAAGGACAGCCAGTGAACATGCATAAGGAAAGGAGATGGAGCAATGTATGTGAGGAGTAGCAATATAGCTGGAGTGACAAGTATGGAGTGATGTGCAAAAAAACAAAATAAAACACAAAACCAACAACTACAATAATAGGAACGGGCCAGGCTATGAAGAACTTTAAATAGCAAACTGGAGTTTATGTTTGATCCTAAAAGAAATAAGGAATCACTGGAGTTTGTGTGTGTGAGTACATATGCAGACTTGCATTTTAGGAAAAACACTTTGACAACTATATGAGGGACATACTGGAGTAGGGATAGACTTGAAGCAGGGAAACCAAGGAGGCTGTTGCTATAGAAAGTGAAAGGTGATAAAAACCTGAGCTAGGGTGGGGGCTGTGTGAGAGGGGGAAAGATTATGTATGTGAGAGAAGTTGTGCAGATAGTAACAAGATTTGACAACTTATTAGATATATATTCTGAGTGAGAGTGAGGAGTTGAAGGTGTCAGTGAAGTTTCCAGCCTAGTGAATGTAAAATGGGTGCCATTGATAGAAATAAGGACATTTGGAAGAGGGGTAGGTTTTAAAGGAAAAATAATGAGTCCTGTTTTAGACATGCTGAATTTGAGATGTCTACAAGACAGTTTGAAATGTTGACTAGACAGTTTGCTGTTAAGGGTATAGAGATCAGGAGAGACTAAAGGCTGAATATATAGACCTGGGATCGTATTATCAATTATCATAGAGACGATAAGAGCTGTGGGAGCTGATGAGATTACCAAGGGAGAGAGAAAGAGTAAGGATAGAAGAGATAGGGAGTCCAGAAGAGAGCTTTGGAGTATACTCACACTTAATAGGTATGACATGGATGAAGATCCAGCAAAGGAAGCTGAGTAGCATTTGGATAAGAGAACCATGGTAGAGCAGTGTTAAGAAAACTCATATTTGGTTTGAGGAGAAGATGGTCAACTTTTGTCAAATGCTGTGAAAAAAGGATGAAATTGATAAAAATTCATGGGATTTAAAAAAAAAGATTATTGGTGACTTTGGAGTGAACAGTTTCAGTTAAATGATTATAGAAGGTTTAAAGGAGAATTACAGCAGAAGAAGTGAAAGTTTTCTTTCACTTATTAGTTGACTCACCAGGGTTAGTCAGCATTTATACAATGATTTAAGGTTTGCAAAGCACTTCACAAATATTATCTCATTTATCTTCATAAGAACCTTGGAAGGTAGGTGTGATTGCATCTGCTTTACCTCCAGTGATATAACTAGCAAGTATCAGAGGATGGATTCAAACTCAGGTCTTTTTGACTTCAGGAAGACTGGCTATTCACTCTGGAATGGTAATAATCCAGGAGACTTTCTCAAAGAGTTTAGCTAAGAAGGGAAGGAGAAATACAGTACTGAAAGCTAGTGGGGATGATATGGTCTAGTGAGGGTTTTTTTTAAAGGATGGTGGAGACAGCATGTTTTTAGGCATGTTTCCTTTCAGGAAGAAATTAGTAGAGAGACTGACAGGGAGGTATTGACAGAGAGAGGGGGAGATTGATAGAGAAAGATTGACAGGGAGAGATGATAATGGGGATATTGTATTGAAGTAAATGGAAGAGAATGACAGGTAGAGAGATTGGCCTTGGCAAGGAGAATGTCCACCTCTTTATCAGAGGTTAAAGGAGGAGATGTTGAGGGTCAAATGTCAGTGATTTGAACAGATGGGGAGATGAGGGAGTGTTGGTCGCATGGCCAAAGAAGCCTTCACCAAAATGTATAAGTTGAGGTCATTAACTGAGAGGGTGATGAGAGGGGGTCCTGTGTTTGACTTGAGGGAAGAGAAAGATTGAAACAGCTGTTGTGGTGAGTGGGATAGAAAATAAATTAATGAGGATTAGGATTGCCTTGTTGCAATGAAGGTCCAGATAACATGTATATGGTAGTGGCCCTATCAGCAAGGTTTTGTGACTTCCTCCAGCAGGTGATGAGTAGGACAGAAGTGGGTGGAAGGTGGGAGCAGTACAGGGCTAGAGTTTGGTGATGTGTAAGCAAAGGACTTGACAAGACAGTAGAGAGTTGAACTGGTTCTCATGGATTGAAATTAGAGATCAGAGTAAAGCCAGAGTTATATTTCCTCCCTTTGCAGATTCTTTCCAGAGTCTTGTAATAGTTGCTAAGTGCTGGTGGGAGGAGTGGGAGGGTGGTAGATTAGAGACACAGCATATATTGAGATGGTAGGTGTCTTTAGGTGCCAGTAATAAGACTTTGTGCCACACTAGGTCAAGCTCATGGTCCATCCAGTCTAGTGTTGTGTTTTAGATACCAAGGAATAATTTATAGCATGATATGACAGTTGCCTTCTAGGACACTCTTCTCAAAGGTTGGAGCTCTCTCCCAAATAACCCCAAGTTCCATCGTCAGTCATTAAATACCTCCTAATTGCAAGGCACTGTGCTAGGTACTAGGTAGCATAAGATGTAATCCCTGCCTTCAAGGAATTTACAGTCTTAGGGAAGTAGACAGTTTATGCTATGTTATTTTTATGGTTTAGAGTAGGGGTTCTTAATCTGGTCTAGATAATAGGGACTCTTAACTTGGTCCAAATGTGTTTTAGAGGGTCCATGTATTTGGATGGGCAAAGAAACTTACGTCGTTATTTTCATTAACATGTGACAGAAATGTATAATTTCTTTAAATTTTCAATTAAAAAAAATATTCTGAGAAGGGGTCTATAAACTTCACTAGAGTGCCAAAGGGGTCCATGATACAGAAAAGGTTAAGAACCTCTATTCTAGACAGCAAATGTCACAGCTGTCTAGCAGAAGGAGAGATTTCTATGGATTGGGATGATTAGATAAAGCCTTATGGATGTGCTGGGTCTTGAAGGACATATAGATTTCAGGTAAGCAGATAGGGTATAGGGAAGACAATTCATGTGGGGAGAATAAAGTCTACAAAGACTTTGAGTTGGAAAAGCTCTACCCACATTTTTTCAGGAACAGCAAGTGGTCCAGTTTTGCCAAACTGAAAAGTTCAAATAGGGAAACAGAGGAGAAAAGCCTGGAAAGGTAAGGTTGGGATATGTTTCAGAGGGCTTCAAATGCCAGGGTCAGAAGTTTGAGCTTGATCCTACCTGAGCCTCAGTTTCCTCACGTACAAAATGAAGGGTTTGGATAAGATGATGTTTAAGTTCTCTTCCTTTTCTAATGAACTAAAGCTTTGAATTATAAGCATTGAGGAACCATTAAATGTTTTTGAGGGGAAAGGGGGACCAAGTAAATGGTGTGTAGAGGGAGCAGGGTTGGGGAGGATGTGGAGAATCTGAGATGGAGAGGAGAGCCAGGGTTGGAAAACTGCCTGAGTCTGGGCTTTCAGAGGTCAGAGTCCAGTATAGGGGCAAAGCAGAGTTGGGTGGTGAGCTAGGTCCCTGATCTGATTCTCTTTCTCTTGAAACAGGATTTCCCTTCCCCAAACCAGAGCTCATCTTATCCCTAGAACGAGGTGAAGAATTGTGGCTACCTGATGGCCTGGGATCTTCAGAAAGGAGAAGGATCCTATTCTGCATAGGTGAGGAGACTGGTAGCAGACAGGAGGAAAATAACATGGGGAGGGGAGGTTCATGTTCAAGAAGGAAAGGTTGTCAATGAGAAAAAATAAATTTTTCCCTTAGTCATAGAGCCTATCTACTTTTGCTTTGAAGTATTCAACACTCCCCTCTAGAAAAACACCTTGGACCCCATTTTGTTCTGGGTCTGTTATATCTGTCTCAGTGTCCAGTGCTTCTCATCCTACCTGGGAAGTAGCCTGGTGTGGTGGAAAGGATACTGGATCTGGGGGGTGGTGTCAGAGAACCTAGGTTTGAATTTCATCTTGACTAGTTACTAGCTGTGGGACCTTGGGCAAGTGACTTCACATCTCTTTATGTATTTGTCTACCTCAGCTGTCATAAGTTGGTTTTAATGAACTCTAAGATCCTTCAAGCTCTAAATCTATGGTCTTGTGGCTGCTTTAGGTCTCTCTTTTCCTCATAGCCAAGTGAAGCTTACTTTTCCTGTAGCTTGTATTCTCCCTTTTAAAAGAGATGATTCAGTTGCTTTGGTAAATTGATCTAGCCTAATAAACGCAGGGAAGAGGAGTTTCATGCACAGTGTCTGAATTTCTCCCATCTAGAGAATGAGTTACATTTTAATAGTGACTTCAGAATACCACCATCTTTGCTATCAAATCTAAAGTATTTCTATTGATGGTATTTTCTGGCCACATCAAAAGGAACAGGGGCACAGGTTGGTGATTGAGATGTTTGGGGATTTCAAAAGCCTTTGGGTGGTTACCTTATTGACTTTCATCTCGAGCCAGTCCAGTAGTAGCAATAGCTTTAAGGTTTGCAAAATGATTTGCAAAATATTATCTCATTTTCTTTTTACTTGCCTTTACCCTGGCAGGTAGACAGTGTTATCTTCATTTTATGGATAAGGTAACTGAGCCAGGCAGAGGTTAAATGACTGGCCCTTGGTTACATGACTAATGTTTGAGGAGAGATTTGAACCTAGGTCTTCCCGATTCTAGATCCAGCCCTCTATCTACTCTGCCCACTGTGCCACCTTGCTGCCCTAGGTGGGACACATGTTATAATGGGAAAAGCACTAGATTGGATGCCTGAAGAGGCTGGTTCAGATTCTGTCTCTGAGCTGGGCAGGATGGTGTACATCTGGGATCCCATCTACCAGGGAGGCTAGAACTGGAAAATCTCTTATTCTTGGGAGTTCTGTGCTGCAGGGAGCTGTGCCCATTGGGTGTTCTCACTATTTTGCATCAGTGTGGTGGGTCCTTGCTATAGGGTGGAGGATGGGACACCATGTTGCCTAAGGAGGGATGAACTAGTCCAGGTCAGAAACAGGTCCAATTCCCTGGATGAATTAGTCGCATGATCAGCCTGTGAACAGCTCCTCAACTTGCAGCCTGGGCAAGATGGGGAGACTTGATCTCAAAAAACAAAACAAAATGGATTCTGGTTCTGCCACTTACTGGCTACATGACCTTTTGGAATTTTAGTTTTTTCATTTCTAAATTAAATAGATTGAGGGAATGGTTTCTAAGCTTCATTCCAGGGCTAGGATTCTATGAGTCTATAAAAGATGGTTGTTAGAGCACCTTAGGGAATGTTTGAGTCTTTACAGTAAATCTTGTCTGAAGTTCAAGTTTAAATCACTCTTGATTCTCTTATTATGTTCTTTGTTGGCTTCAGCACCACCTGTGCTCGGGAGGTAAACTGGTGTGTTAGAAGGGATACTAGACTAAGAATTTTAGGGATCGGTAGACTCATCCACTGTATTACTCTGGGTGAGACCTCTTATCTCCGTTCCCTCATCCATAAAATTAGAGGGTGGAACTGAGATTCCTGCTAGCCCTAATAGGCACAATTTCTCCCTTTTTCACTGTCGCTGCAAAACTTGCCAGGAAAAATCTTAGAAATAAAAACACAAAACAAAACATTTACCTCCTCCATTCCCATCTCTCCTGCTGTCCCCATAAATAGGAAAGGGAGGGCATGAGCCAGGAAAGATAGCAAGGTTAGAGAGGAAGAGAGCCCATCTTTTTTACTTTTGTGCTTTTCATTTGTTTCAGAGGAGGTACCATTTATCCCTAAGTGGGTACGAGAGGCTGGAGGGGGAAACAAGATAATTTTCCAGTTACTTTTTATCAGGAATTTGTTGAGTGTGAATTCACAGAATGTTAGACGTACCCAACTTTATGGACAAAGAGAGAAAGGCATTTCTTCCCCAGAGAGAAGAAACATTTGGGATAAGTTCCTTGTTTAGTTTTTCTACATTACTGAACCTCTTGGTAATGTGAAGAGTTTAGCTATCCATTTTAAAAATGATCATGTTTGGCAAGTGTTTAATCTTAGTCTGGGTGACATCCTGGCACACTTCTGCCTATCCTCAGTGTTCCTCTTATTCTTATCAGCTGTTTAGCACTTTGGAAACACACCCTTATTTAGTATTAGAACCATAGGATTATAGACCTTGAAAGGATGTCATATCACTTTGAACTAATCAGAATTGGGAAGTCAAGCAGGTCAAAATTATCATGTGATATACACTCAAGACAGTGGACTTAGTGGAAAGATCACAGCTCTGAGAGTCTTAGCTGTGCTACTGAACCATGTGATCTTGGTCACGGCACTTCCTCATTAGCTATTTTTCCAATTATAAGATGAGTTAGGTCAGGTAATCTCTAAGGTCCTTTCCGCTCCCATTCTCTTGGAGTCCAAAAGCAATTGTCCTCTTTTTTCCCCCCATAATGTTTTCCCAGCTATAGAGCACTGGCCATGAAGTCAGGAAGACATGGATTCAAATCCTGCTGCACTATTAGAAAGTACCTTTAAAAAAAAAGTAAATAAAGTATCTTAACCACTCTGGTTTCTGCATCTATAAAATGAAAGATTTGGACCTGATGACCTCTAAGGTCCCTTACAGCTCTAAATCTCTAATCCTTTTTCAATTTTCTAACATCTTTATGCTGGGCAGATGATTCTCTTCAATTAAAAGAACTGTGGCTTCTGGTGACTTAACCCAAGATAACAGAGTAGAGTTAGTCAACAATATTTATTAAGTGCCTAGTATGTTCCTGACACTGCTAAATACTGGGGCAACTAAGAAATACAAAAACATAGTGTCTACCCTCAAGGAATTCACATTTTAGTGGGGTTAAAACATATGCCAATAGTTACCTACAAGACTTGCTGACCAGAGAGTTCTGGCAGGCCTCAGGATGCAAGCCCCATCTCACCAGATCCTGATCACATAATTAGGGAGATAGCTCACAAACAATCCTTCCCCTTCTAACTCTGGTGTTCATGTTCCCCAGCAGGGGACAAGCCTGGGACTCCTTCCAGGCTTCAGAAAGATCTGGAAGAAGTGGGGGACCTCAAAGGACACATTTCCAGAGCCCGGACAGATAGTTCACCTTCTCCAGCAGAGGACAAGCCAGGGACTCCTCCCAGGGTTTGGAAGGGCCTGGAAGAAGATGGGGACCTTGAAGGACAACCGTCCAGAACCCGGATGGATAGTTTGCTTTCTCTAGCAGATGACAAGCCAGGGACTCCTCCTAGGGTTTGGAAGGACCTGGAAGAAGTGGGGGCCCTTGAAGCACAACCCTCCAGAGCCCCTCTGGATGGGAATAAGGCCTTTGTCGCTGTCCCTACCCAGATTATCTACTGGTGCACATCAGACAACAAGGAGCTGATTCCTTGCTCTGTGGACTTCACCCCCCTGCCACCCCCAGGCCTTCCCAACCCCTACAAGTGCTCTCATAGCAGCAAAGATTTCATCCACATCTCCAACTTCTCTCGTTACCAGCGAACCTATCAGTGCCCTCAGTGTGGCAAGCAGCTCAGCTGGAACTCTGACTTCAGCCGCCACCAGCGCACCCACAGTGGTGAGAGGCCTTTCAGCTGCCCACTCTGTGGGAAGCGCTTTGGCCACAGCTCTGACTTTAACCGCCACAAGCGCACACACACTGGTGAGAGGCCCTACAGATGTTCGGAGTGCCCTAAGTGCTTTACCCGCAACTCGGACCTGGTCACACACCAGCGAACACACACAGGGGAGAAGCCTTACTGCTGTGCAAACTGTGGCCGGGGCTTCAGCCGCAGCTCATCACTGGTCACACACCAGCGAGTTCACACCGGCGAGAGGCCCTACCAATGTCGAGACTGTGGCAAACGCTTCAGCCTCAGTCCGGACCTTATCAAGCACCAACGCATCCACACGGGGGAGAAGCCCTACAAATGCAACCACTGCGTCAAGTGCTTCAGCCATCGAGCCAACCTCATTACCCACCAACGAGTCCACACAGGGGAGAAGCCCTACAAATGCCAAGACTGTGAGAAGAGCTTCAGCCAGAGCTCACACCTCATTATTCATCAGCGGGGGCATACAGGGGAGCGCCCTTATCGCTGCAGTGACTGCAAGAAGGGCTTCAGCAGCCGCTCCTACCTCATCACCCACCGCCGCGTCCACACTGGTGAGAAGCCATATTCCTGTGGAGTGTGTGGGAAGAGCTTCAGCCAGAGGACCAATCTTCTTACGCACCAGAAGCTCCATGGGATGGAGAAGGGAGTAGTGGGAAGGACAACTTCCAATGGAATTGCTAGGCTCGGGGGAGAAGCTGGAGTTCCTATCCCATAATTTCAATGCATTGAATGCTTATTAAGGATACAAAGATGAAAAAAGGACAGCCTCTGTCCTCAAGTAACTTATGCCCTATTAGCTTGAATAACTCCTTTTGGAGGACTTCTGTAGGAGGGGAGGGGAAGGCAAGAGAATGAGATGGGAAAGATTTCTTGACATTTCTATTATGCAGGGTTTCCAGGAGCAGCTTCCTGTTCTAAATGGGTGATTGGTCATTTGCTGACTCTTGTACTCCATTATTTCCTTAGGGGAATCTGTAAGAGTTTCTCAAAGTGATAGTAGTAGAAAGAACTCTCTACTAGAAATCAGGAGATCTGGGTTCAAATTCTGACTCTGTGACCTCAGGTAAATAATTTCCTCTAATTGGGTCTCAGTTTCCTCATTATAAAATGAAGGAGATAGGGCAGCTAGGTGGTGAAGTGGATAGAGCACTGGCCCTGGAGTCAGGAGGACCTGAGTTCAAATCCATCTTCAGATACTTGACATTTACTAACTGTGTGACCCTGAGCAAGTCACTTAACTCCATTGCCTTGCCCCCCTCCAAATGAATGTGTTCTCATCAGATTATTTTAGTGGTCTGTTTTAGCCCTGATTGTTATGCCGTATGCTTATGTGAGAATTAGAGATGGGATACAGGAAAAAGAGGAAAGGAATAAGAATTTATACAGTGCCTGCTATGTGCCAGGCACTGCACTAAGTGTTTTACAAATATCATCTCATTTGATCCTCAGAACAGCCCTGGGAAGGAGGTACTGTTATTATGCTTATTTTATAGTTGAGGAAACTGAGGCAAAAAAGAAGTTAAGTGAATTGCCCAAGGTCACATGATAATGAGTGTCTGAGGCTGAGTTTGAACTCAGGTCTTTCTAATTCCAGACCCAGCACTATCCACTGCATCCTCTTGAGTACATCCTAGGGAAGAACTTTACAAACCTGAGGCAACTAGTCTTATAAAAATCATTAGTGGGAATCAATTTCCCAAAGTAATCTAGGCAAAGGGGATACTAGGAAATTTCCACTGGCCAAAGCCCTGGATGCTTGTCCTTCTTACCTCTGTCACCCCTCCCCCCTTCCTGGTATCCCCAGTGATCAGAATGCAAATGCTGAATTGCTCAATTGCTTTTTTGGGGGAAATCTAAAGGGAATGGCTAAGAGAATAAAATGTGAAGTAAAAAGACAAGAGGTAATGTAGGGCTGGGAAGGAAGAGATTTGGCACTTGACATTTTTTTTAAGCTTTCTTTAACTTGAGGTTAGGGGTTTATTTGTTTTTCATTCCCTGTTGCCAATTCTTCCTCTCTCCAACTAAGCTGTTTTGGCTGTTTCTGCTCCAAACTGGTTTCAAGTTATCTTTTAAATGAGGTGAACACCAAAGAACTGTGAGGTGTTTGACAACCTGACATTATGGATGACATTATGGAGATAAGAGGGCTGACAAAGAGGGTTCAGGAGAAGGAGGAGAAGAAAGCAATTGACTAAACCCATTTAAAACTAAAGTAGGTTTTACCACTAAAAGGCTCTTCTGAACTCTGTGATTTCCAGACAGCTCTTCCAAAACACCTCCTCCCCATTCCCACTTTGACATTGTTGACTTTCTTGATTGATAAACATCAGTAACAGGAAACTTAGGGCAAACAGGATGGCTCAGCATTCAATTTTTCTCTCTAGCAGCTGCATTAATTTGATATTTTAAAATTTCTGTGGTACCTGATATGGGTAGAAATTTTAGCAGGAGAAAGAGTGGTTAGATATCAAGATGAACTGTCCCTCTTGAAGGAAAGGGTAGTCAGACCCAGGATAGTTAAAGCCTAGGGAGTTGGGGAGGAATGGGGATGAGGCAAGATGCTGGTAGGAGGATCTTATTTTGTGAACTCTACCTGAGAAATCTGCATTTCAGAAGGTGGAAGTTACAGAATGTGTGTGTGTGTGTGTGTGTGTGTGCGTTTGTGTGATGTGGACATACCAAAGGCAAAGTGGCGGTCTTCATGTTTGTGTGCCAGCTGAAGGGTCTGCATATTACTTATGATTAGGAGAGAGGATCTTTGGTTTGGGAAGAGAGATAGGTCTGACCCACCTACCCTTCCCTCCATGAGGCACAGTTCATCATAATTACTTTATCCTGCTAAAATTTCTACCCAGACTTGGTACCACAGAAATTTAGGAATGACCAAATGCATTTTGTTGCATGTTTATTTTTAGATGAATTTTGTCAAGATCACATTGGCCTTAAGTATTTATGCTCAGAGTTACAATTCTCAAATTCTTTTATCTAGGCTGGATATTTTTGGATTTGTTTGGGGCAGAAGGGAAGTATTTCCTAAGAGTATCTTGGGCACAAATATTTTTACTAGAATGCTATGCATTGTCATTATGTCACCTGGAGGATGTAACTGGAAAAGGCAGCTTCTCTAGCATCTGGCCCAGAAGGAAACGTGATCCATCCATTTGGCTGGAGATGTCCTGCTTGAGAGGAGCAGGACTTCATCCCACCTTTGCAGCACCCCACCCCACAACAGGTCTGCTGGGTCATTAGTCCTATGACCCATGTCCCATTGCACCCAAAAGAACAGTGTGTAAAAATTATTTGAAAGTAGGTTCCAGGTGATGGCAATGCCAAGGCTTGTACCTTGGTACCTCTACATGTATACAAGGTAGAGGCAGAGACTATGAAATGAGTCTGGAGTTGAAACAACTGCTTTTCAGCAGTGTACTGTAGGACATTGAGCACTGGACTTGGTCAGGAAGACTTGGTTTGAATATGGCCTCATAAATTTACCAACTGTGATCATAGGGAAATTTTTACATAATCTCTCTGTTCAGTTTTCTCATCTGAAATGAGAGGTTTGTACTTTTGATTTCTAAGGGCCCTTTCTTATTGTAAATCTTTGATTCCAAGAGGCTGGGCAAAAATATTAATTGGATAATTTGTTTTTGGTATACTGCCATGAAACCCTTTCTGTCCCTCACTCTCCTGGAGCCCTGCCTTTTCCTGTCTTCTCCTTGTTCCATTCCTCCAAGTCTGCAGTTTCAGCCAGCTGACAACCTACTCTACTCCTCAGGAAGATTTGAGCTGATAAAGGTGTTAATTATTGCCCCTCCCAGAAGTAATTTTCTTTTAATAAAATACCCCCAAGACCTTCAAATTTAACAAATATTTATCACATGCCTGCTTTGTGCAATGGTGGCCCACTAGATTCTGGGATATAAAAACAAAACCATAATAATCTCCGCCTTCAGGGAGCTTACTTTCTTTTGGAGGTAGGGATCGAGGGAGAAGGAAGCCTTGGAGGGCTTTATTTCCAATGGAATAAATCTCTAATGGTAAAATTCTGCTACTTGGGTGGCCATTGGAGTTGATGACTGGAGTTTCATTGATCACATCTCAGAATTGACTGCCTATTTATAAAAATGGTCCTCGTTTCCAGCCTCTTGGCCTCCGTCAATGACTGCTTAGAGTTAGCATCTAGGGATGAATGGCTGGTGGTGGAGCTTCTGACTATTGTGCAGGACACAATAGATGATATTTTTCAGGCTTCTAGGAGTACTAGAGAAGTTAGCATCAGAGCACTGATTTCAGAAGTCAGATCATTAATTGGATGCTTATTACCTGTGGTAATAGGTAATCACCTGTGGGATTCAGTTTACTCATTTTTTTAAAGTGAGGTTGGGCAAGGTGATTCCTAAGGTTCTTTTCAGATTGAGACCCTGTGATCCATTCCTATGACTTGGGGGTTTTACCATAAAGAAGTAGAGAGAAAGTTGCTGGGGGGGAGGGTAGGAGGAGGTGTATAGCCTATAGGGAAAGTGGATTCTTGCCTTTCTGTGAGAGTCTTTCTTGTTTGTCTTGCCCCAACTCTACCACAATTTCCCTTCCCCTCTCTTACCTGAGATGTGCTTATTTGTTAACTTTGCTGGAACTGAATAAAAATTTTAAACAGCTTCTGGCCTCCTAGATTGATTTCATTTCGGCTATAGCTAGGACTTAGGTTTGAGCTCAGATTTGGTGGCTGCCATGCTAATAGAATGACTATAGTCATATCTAGTGAACGGAAGCTTCATCGGGCTCTCTCTGGAGAGAAAACAGTTCAAGAGCCATGAGTCATAGTCCACAAAGAAAGATCATCTATTACTGATGTAGTATTGGGTAAGAGAAGGGTAGATGGGGTACAGCTCCTAAGTGGAGATCTCCAAGGACATGGGAAGCTCCTACCTCACTTTGTTCTTCCTTTACTGTGTTCCTTTACCTCTGACAGAATGTTTTATTAAGTCTGTTCTCCATTTCTTCAAATGTCACTCTTAAAGTGCAGTTCTACCATATCACTTCTGTCTTCAGTAAACTTCAGTGGTTCCTTATCATCTCTAGAACAATACACACACACACACACACACACACACACATTTGGCATTTAGTGTCCTTTACAACTTGTCCTCACCCATCCTACCTTTTTAGCCCTATGACACATCAGTACTCCCCTTTATGGAGCACTCTACATTCTCCTCAAATTGGCCTTCTTATTGCTCGTACACAGCATTCCATTTCCAGTATTTGTGTTTTTTCATTGGCTGTCCTCTGTCTCTCTTCATTGCTTAGAATTTCTAGTTTCCTGCAGGACACTCAGGAATGTCTTAATCCCTCTAGATGCTAATATATTACCCATCCCTACCCCCACCCCATCATCTTGTATATTCCCGTGTATGAAGGATAATAGGATATGCCACATTTACTAAGACTTTTAATTTGACTCATTTCCATATTCTTATCTTGATCCTTAGGAAAATACAGGAGGTATAAATGCATTTTTTTCTTATTAATTAGTAAAATATCTGTGTATCCATAGTGCCTTGCATAGTATTGGCAGATAGCAAGTACTTAACACAGGCTTGTTGATTGATTGAATCTTCAATGGGAGAAAAAAACTTCTACATAATTCCCTCTTTCTGGGACTTTAATGTTATAGTCTCTAGAAGAAGCATTTCCCTCTTTCTGGGAAACAATACCTTGAACAGCTTCTCTTAAAAGAAATAGAGATTCATTGACAACATGATGTAGTGGGAGCACCATTGGACTTGGTGCCAGAATACCTATTTTCAAAGTCTGAGTTTTGACACTTAATGTGAGACTTTGGGAAAGTTGATTTCTTATAAAACAGGGATAATAACACTTTATAGGGTCGTGGGGAAAGCACTTGGTGGATCTTTCAGTGTTCATAGCACTTTAATGTTTGCAAAGCATTTTTTCCACAACAACCCACAAGTACTCTTACTCCTGGGCCAGCATTCTATTGGCCACTGAGACATTTATGCATGTATCCAGTGGTTGAACAGGGTTCTATTCAGCCTTTGTCGTAATCTCTCTTCCAGATAAGTTAATATTGAACAGGAATAGCTATGTGAATCCTATCGACTTAGGTCTTTATAGAAATTCTTTTAATATAGG